AAAAAAAAAAAAAAAAAGAAGATAGAAGAAGAAAGGAAAGGCTTTTTTTGGTGCAATTTGCAGCAAAATGATGTCGCCTGTGTGATGAGACGAAAATAACATAAAAAATTGTAAATTTACTGGTGGTTTTCCCTTCTTTCGTTCGTCCACTTTTGCTCTGTCGTTGCAACAACAACAACAGCAACAACAACAATTTTAAACGATAAATCTGCATTAATCTACACGTCAAAGCACCTAAGTTCTCTTTTTTTTTCCTGTCACTTCATTCATTCATCTATTCATTCATTTGTTCGTCTATACATTCTGTACGAAGCATCATAAAAATCTGTATCTTATTTACTATTGCTGTTTGTTTTTTTTTTTTTTGTTGTTTAATTTTATCAATTCTTCTTTTATTTACTGGCCAGTAGGCTGGTTTACGGTAACCGATCACTACAATTAGCGAAGAGAACAGTTTCAAGATTAGCATTAATTACTGATAAAAACAGCTGTTATCAGAGTAAATTGTATTTCTTTAAGTTTTTTTTGCCAAGTTTTAGTTTCTTAGTTTCTTTATTAGTTGATCAAAGCGAAAAAAGATTTATCAACAACAACAACAACAACAACAGGTTATTGTTGTTAATTTTTATTTTCCTTGTTCCTTTTTTCTTTCTTTTTTTCTTTCTTGTTATGAACGAATTTGATGATAGGTGTTCAACAAATTGTGTGTTTACTGGCAGTTAGTAATTTGGTATTGCCGCTTTTGTCGCCAAATTGGGTACAGCTAACCTTTAAGTCTCAAAAATTAATTGATTATCACAACAAAGTGAAGCGATGACAATGATTACTCAACAATAAAGTGAAATTGACAAAACTCATCATTGCTGTAAACTTATAGTCTATTTTTGCGCTCATTTCTGCTTCTTCTTCTTCCTCTTCTTCAAATTCTTCTTTTTATTCTCATTCTTCTTCCCATTCCTTTCTTCTTCATTGACGATCATGACGTTTGAACCGTTTGAACTATTTCTGTAGATGTGTATGTGTATTTGTTTTGTATGCGTGCGTTATAATAATGATTAATTGCTGTATTGAAACGACTGAAAAGGGAAAGTCAAATGAGAATTCTGAAAAAAGTATTCTTTTTTTTCGAAAATGTTTATGATCTGGTAACACAAAATGAAGTGTTTTAGCGGAAATTTATAGCTTTTTTTTTCCAGCTGAAACTTGACTGCGAAAGTGATTCGTGCTGTGGCGATTGTTAAAGGAAAGGAAAGAAAAAAAAAGTAATAAGCCCCAGGAAAATGTTGGTTAAAAAAGTGTCATAGTTTTTTTCCAGTAATTTCTTCTCCAATTTGCACTGACATTTCGCTGGAGTTGACTAGGCTGATTGCTTGAGAATTCGGTGGTGGGTTGAACGAAGAGTGAACGACGAGGAAAGGTGACGGACGATAGGGCAAGAAGGAGCGAGGAGTACGGGGATAGGATGAGGGGAAAGTGTAGAAGAATGGATGCTTATAGCCGTAAATAGGCAATCTAAAACGAACAAAAAGTTTAACTGAAATTTAAAAGAGCTTAAGTAGAAAAGAGAAGTCGAGGTTAAAAACAGAAATCACAAGAAAAAAGGGAACGCATTGATGATGATAATATTCTTCTTATGAGAGTTCAATTTTTGTCTTCTTCCTTTCCTTCAATCTCTCCCCAGTGTTGTCGTCGTTGTTGTTGTTATATATTTATTCCTAATACCAGTCGCAGTTTCGGGTTGATTGGCATCACTTTTTTTTACAATTGACTTTGTCATCCCTCTACGAAAATATTTTCTTCTTTTTTTTTCTGTCTTCTGTTACTTTTTCCGTTCGTCTTCCCCTTCGGTTTCTTCTTTTTACCTACTCTTCCCTCTTCTTCTTTTTTTCCTCGTCTTCTCCATGTTTCCATTCTTTTCCTTTTACTGTTTCTGTACTTCTTTTCAGGAAAAAATCTAAAAAAAATTTTTTCTTACATTACCCATACGGAAAAAATAGAGGAGAACAGTACTGCTTGACATTTTTCAACTTTAACTACATCGTTGTGTTGCTTTTGCCATTCTCTTCTCCCTCTTCTTCTTCTTCTTCTTTTTCTCCTTCTCCTTGTCCTTCTCCTTCTTCTTCCTCTGTTCTACCTCTTCTTCTCCTTCTTTTTCATTTTCATTTTTTTCCTCTTTTCTATTTTTGGGAGAAGAAAAGGGGAGTGGGGAGATTATTGTCATCCTTACTTCTCCTGTTTGTATTATGATAAATGACTGTATAACTTGCAGCTTGTAGTGTAGATTGGTGATTTCTCGACGGGCATCATCAGCCATCTTCTATAAGACTACAGTAAATTGGTTTCCTAAATGGCTGCAACAGTGACCAAAACAGAATTTTTTTGTTATTGCTATTACTGTTGCTTTTGTTACAGTCGAATT